TATATACAGTATATATTCCTGCTGCTGTGTTGGCCAGAAATCAAATAAAATCCAGCAACAAATTCCTGAGTGGTAAAAGAATTTGTGGGAACAAAAACTGATTTTGATACAAAGTAACTGTGGGATTATCTGTTGGAACATAACACAAACTTTTACAAACATCCTCCTAAGAACAAACTGCCAGTTACTCTGTTTGTCTTGGGGTTTGTTTGGTTTTAGTCATGTGTTCTGGGCTTCAAAGCAGTGATTCCATTAATTCATAATAAATACTCATCTTAGAAGAGGACAGCAAAAAACATCTTAAGAACATCAAGTGATCCAACTGTTCTTTGTTAGCTCAGATTACCCATAAAGCTCCCATGTATCTTCGGTGGGGAAGATCCTTATAAAACCCCCTCGCCTTTCATACTCCTCCTTTATCCTCCTCAGCACTTTGATCTAGATTGGAAAAATAACATGATTTCTTTAAAGAGGGGTAGCTTTTTATTGAGTCAATACACAAAATGTCACTCTGGCCTCATGGGTTTGATCTCTTTTAGACCCCGTCTTACCTCCTCTGCAGTCAGGTTGAGGGTGCTGTCTTCTAGGCTGTGTTTAGGTACTTGCTTGTCTGTTTCTGAGCTACAGGTTGATGTAGGTCTCTGTCGCTAAAGGATGGAGGTTGGAAACATTATTATTTCAGGATGACACTCACTGTTAAGAATAAATTCAATTCAAAGTTCATGAAAGTTTAGTGTCGCATGACAAACATGAATAAGTTCTATCGTCGTTTTTCATTTCCATTTATGAAAGAAAAATGTGCAAACTACACGGAGCGGTAACCAGAACGCCCTCTTTTCTCCCTCGTTACAGAAATAGAGCATTTTTGCAATACATTGGCATCTCGGCCCCCCTCTATGACTGACAACTTTGGCATGCAGTTTGCAGCTTGGGCCAGAAAGCCGGGCACAACCCCACAGGAACATATACGAAATTTGTCAACTAAATAGCAGGGGGATTATGTTTAATTTGCCTTACGCGGCTGGAGGGGTACCAAGGCAGCCAAACAGTGACAAGGCCTAATCCCTCAGCAGAAAGTTTTAACTGTTGCCCCTGAGCAGAGTGAAATGAGAGGACAGGTTCTCTGTAGGTCTAATGTTCTTTAAAAGCCTCTGTAACAGCCCTGGTTTAGTGTTGGACTCYGTTTCCATCCAGGCAGCTTTGATTCAGTTCAGCAAAGTTTCTGTCTTTTTTACATAAGTGGTGCATTGCAGCATTCAGGGTCCCTTGGGCCAATTTGCTAATGTAATGAATGCTTATTTAAAAATACAGCATCARGAGTCAATAAAAGCCATCTGTCTGTCACAGTGAAAAACTGTAAAGCCACATAATCAAATCAACAAAGACCAGCAAGCAGTTTCTTACCATTAATGCAACAAGCGTCAGTAAATAGCAGAGAGACAAGGAAAAAAGAAGATTAATAAATCTGAGTCAGAGGAAAACTTACCAGCCTGCTGGGCACAGTGRCTGATGGTGCAGAATATTTCTGGGTGAAGACATTGCATTTGCATTACTATTTGTTTTTTTTTGTTTTGTTTTGTTTTTTTCTTTAGACAACATGCAAAACTACATTGGCACGACACAATGAAACCCTGTTACTGAGACTAAACAAGTTTATAACGAAACATAAAGGTGGAGCAGAAATCTGTCTGTTTTAGTAATCTCTCTTCAGCAGCGCAGTGCCAAAAACTTGGTGCAGTAGTCGAACGGTGGAGCCAAGAGCAAAGAGCATTAGCAGTTGTGGCATCATTAGGCAAYGAGACCCAGAGAGAGCATTAGTCATTTGATTAGAAATGATAAAACAATAAGGCACAGAGAGTAGCTCTTTCAAACTGATGTCACTCAAACGCTGTAATTACATTCGCAGTTGTTTTGCATTACTGTAAATTTTCCATGAGGGTTAAGAGACCAGCTCTATGGCAGCAGCAGGAATGTAACTGTGAGCAACGTGAGAATGACAACAAGGAAGGGTCAATGAGTGCAAAGCTCTGTGTGTGTGTGTGTGTGTGTGTGTGTGTGTGTGTGTGTGTGTGTGTGTGTGTGTGTGTGTGTGT